TGCAGAGGATAAATAGAACTATTTCACACATGTACCTCAAAACTTTGTATGTTTTGTTTTCATTATTTTTGGACCAATTAAGGATGTAGTAGAGGTTTTTTTCTTTGAACATATAAAATTTACTTTTTTCCATATTCTCTCATACAAATATATGAAGCATGCATTTAACTAGAAAAAACAATTGTAGAGATGGTTTAGAAGGCTAATACATTTTGAATAAATCTGAGATACAGTGTGTTTTATATTTTTTGTGATTTTTCACGCTTAAGTGAACATCAGTATTTGGGGGTTAGTCTAGAGAGTTGATCTCGACTCCCAGCTGCTCCACGATGGTGATTTTTGGCATAGGTATTCTCTGGTAGCTGCTAATGAAATCTGGCAAAGATAGTTTGTCTACCACTTTGACTTTAAAAAATATGACACAACTCTCACCTATGTGAACTATGAAACAGGGAACCATATTTCAAAACAATGTTGACGATGTTTTTAAAAAGCATTATGAGGTAAAATTCTAGGTCACGCAACAGTAGACGAACTGGGAAATTAAATTCAAACCTTCTATAGTATCTCTGAATTGCGCGAACATCATTTCTGTGGCCTTATTTCGGTTTCTTCAAAAATAACACCTCTCTATTTGTGCAGTGATCACGTGATTACAACTTGATCAGTAGGGTAAAACTAACCTGTCTCACGACGGTCTACAACTTGATGGGATTCAAAGAATGTGTTACTTTAGAAATTTGCTATGCAATTGCAATAGCAATAACCTCTACTACATCCTTAATGGAAGGATTACCATACTTAATATTTTGTGGGGTCAACAACCTTGAGATGAGACTACAGAGAGACTTGAAAGTAGTTTCAGTTTCACACCTTTTATATTTCCCAAAATTAAAACGTTTGCTTGTCATCAAAAAGTTCCAAATCAATCTTGTTTTTTAAGTGTAAACATTTTTTGAAATATAATTTTACAGCATTCAAAATTTTGAGTCACTGTGATGTGCTGTCTTAAAATTTCAATAAAACGTAAACTGACATATTTAGAGTAGAAAATAGAGTAGTATATAGTAGTGCAGGTACACGATAAGTACACTCTGATGGCAAGAGCATCCGCTAAACTAAGAAGCATTGCAAGGCAGGGAGGAGAAGCGACATGGCAGATGCATATCAAAGGAACAACAGAAACTAAAAGTAGAAAAAGAATTGCCTTCAAATAGATAAACTATTGTACCCAGGTCAAACGCTTTGTCTACTATCTTAGTTGTGTATTGAAATTTGGTACCACCCAGTTAACAATCCAGATACTTACATCTTGAATAAGAACTAACTTCCCATCCTACAATCTGACCACAAATCCCATTGGATTGTGGAAGTTAATTATAAAAGCCTGCTTATTCTAAACCTCAGTTAAATGTAATCTCAAGGTCAGAAACAAATTTTTTTATAAGGTATAAACAAAAGTGGAATAAACGAAGGGCTTGCCCGATTCAAAAAAAAATTCTAAAGTTTGTAAGTTGATTGCTTTAAGTAGTGTTAATTAAATGATAAATAATAGTGCTTTCAGTTACAGGGAATCTCAGTCAACATTCATTGGGTCAAGAAAAGTACTTCAATAAAAAAAAATTCGACCATCCTCTTTACTGATGAAATTGACCTTTTATAGTTTGACCCAATTTTTCGTATCTTATTTTTCGTATCTTATTCATGACCACTTAAAAACCCAACCAAGTTTGGCACAGTAAGCAATGCAAACAAGTTGAAATGAACACCTTACACTAAGTAAGTCAACCATACCATATTTCCTAGACTAGAAGCACATGTGCTTAATGTGTAAACGATCCAAGCTGCCCTAACATTATATGTACAATAAGGCGAAGCCATTCAGGATAGTTTAGTTTGTGGTGTATTTATGTCCAAACTAGCACAATGATATTGTTGGTTATATGAGAGTAAAGCAAATAACTTTAATCCCTTCAGCCAGCCCCATGACTTGTCCAAATAAAGTTTAAACCACAACTGTTGACCTTGTATGGCCTATATTTTTTTAGATTTCAAGCTATTTTATACTGCAAATGTTGTTTTTCATATAAACCTACCAATAAATGTCTAACATATTAATTTAAAAGTAACGTATTTATCTGAAACATAATCCAACGTAAAAATTACCTTTAAAACTAATGTGCTAGTATAAATAAGTGTTTTTCTAGAGCACAAATTAATAGAATACAAATTAACAGCTGTAGGTTTAGCAAGAACTCAAATCTGCCAGAAATAATGGCCAAGATGGACATTTGAAAAACTAGGTACTCTTGTTTTCCCAAAAATATATAATGTAAGTTAATATGATTAGAATAATTTAGGCACAATCAGAAATCCAAAATTACGTAACTCAGAACTTAGACGATCTGGCAGGCTTGTACTAACACATGAATTTACCCACCAGGTCACTTATGGCATCAATATAATAGCAGTGATGAATTTTCAACCTTCACAACATAGCGCCAAGTCATTTACACTGTCAGAGCAATGCATTCTGATTCTATCTGTGTTAAATGGGGAAATGTTCTATGTCCATTGTTTTAAAGCACTTTTTCTCTTTGCCATGTAGTTACGTTTATGTCTGAGTAAAAAAGTTCATGTTTTGTTGGTAGGATGTGTTGTGATCTCCAGTTGGGATCACTGGAGATGTATTTTTTTACAAATTCACTTGAAAATTATTTATGTGCTATGTTTTGCATAGTTAGAGCACGAATTAAGTGAATAGAAATTTTAATCTTTTTTCGAACACAATAAATACAATACATTCAATATTTTTTTGTTAATGAATTGGGTCTGTTAATTAATAGAGACGGCAATTTTATTTGGTACCAAGTATAGATAAGCCTTGATCTCTATCTACCCAAAAATATGGACCTTTTTCTACCAAAATGTGTATCTGTACCCAGAAATCTGGAACTCTATCTACCAATCAACCCGGCCAGACCTTTATCTACCCAGAAATCTGGAACTCCATACTACCCATCAACCTGGCCAGACCTTTATCTACCCAGAAATCTGGGCCTTTATCTACCCAGAAATCTGAACCATTATCTCCCCAGAAATCTGCATCTTTATCTACCCAGAAATCTGGGCCTTTATCTACCCAGAAATCTGAACCTTTATCTACCCAGAAATCTGGACCTTTACCTACCCAGAAATCTGGACCTTTATCTACCCAGAAATCTGGACCTTTATCTACCCAGAAATCTGGACCTTTATCTCCCCAGAAATCTGGACGTTTATCTACCCAGAAATCTGGACCTTCATCTACCCAGAAATCTGAACCTTCATCTACCCAGAAATCTGGACCTTTATCCACCCAGAAATCTGGACCTTTATCTATTTATTCACAAGTCTGAACCAATATGTAGCCAGGAACCATTAGACAACAACAATTCTGGCAACAACAATGTTCATTAAAAACCAGTTTTGTAAAAATCTTGAATTAAAACCAAGTTCTAAATTATTGTCCAATGTTTGAGGTTCTAACCATGAGGAATACTGTCATATATTACACACAGCATAAACACATATTTAAATATATTAAACATTAACATTTTAAAAGTTTATGCAAGTTTCAACATTGGCACTGTACAAGCATTGACCCAAAGTTAATTAAATTACACAAGAATGAGTTAGCAAAAGTAGCAAGAATATACTTTAGAAATAGAACTGCCCAACTGATTGCAAACATACCTTATTCAAATTCCTTTCACTATCAGAGCTGATTGCCATGGTTACCTGTGTCTGTTCTTTGGTATGCTTGTCCTCTGAAGGCATGTCACTGAATTCAGAAGCTGTGTCAGGGAGTGGTTCTACCCCCTCCATTACAGTGCTACTCTGTATATCACTGGCTGAATCAAATTCAGACTCTTCTTGGTCATCCTCAACAGGCAGTGATGATGAGGGGAAGGTTGGCTGCAAATGGAAGAGCTGAAATCAGTTTGGCAGAAAGAGACTTTTTAAATCTTCCCAAAACAGTTTAGAAGTTTGGATCACGTTACTTTTCATCCCAATGAATACAACACTTTTGTCAACTATCACAACAATCAAAATTAACAAGAAATTAAAAAAAAAAAATTCATTAAAATGTACAAAATTTTGCACCACCAAGACCATTTTCCATTCGCTGCAAGATCCTGTATAATGCATGAATGTAAAAACAGGACAAACATTGTAATGACGTCAAAGCATTCTGTGGGATTTGACAAATACGCAAATATATTGGGATTTTTTCACGCTTAATAATGTGATGTACACATTTGATAATGATCAATTTTGATGAAGGGAGAATATTTCAAACCAATATTCCCCACACAATGATTGACATATTGAGCTATAAAATTCAAACTCAAAAATGTAATATTTTCAGCAGAAATTAGGTGTGAACAGAAAATCACCTATTATGTCATTACTTGTCTCACTTTTAACATACAAAAAATACACATAATTAATTTCGCGTATATTGTTGGAGCAAACTGTTATGTCATCACCACCCTCAGAAACCAATACTTGAATGTTAGATATTGTTAGTAATTTGATGGCATTATTGGGGAGTAAAATTCGGAACAATCACTGTGATTCCATGTCCGGGGGAAACCCATGGAAATGTTCACTGATCCAATTTACTTAATTTCCCCGATGCCATAAAAAGCATAATCTCACAAAATTTACACTGTAGTTTGTTTGAAATTTTCAAGTCATGGAAAATAACGAATAATTAAAATAAAACGTATAACATAGTGAACTGGAAAAGTCCTTGAACGAATTGAGAATTAATGCAATGAGTTTACTATTATAGAAAACAGAACAGAATAAAGCATACACAGTGGTCGTATTCAAAGTCCAAATCATTAGTTATTGAACCAACCAGACAAGAAAAGTGTCATCTCTTCATGCTCCACTGATTTCTTTCAGTATGAAAAACTTTATTATCTGAAGCTTAACCAGGTCAGGCACATGTTGCAGCAGGGTCAGTGAATACGTACAGAACAGATAAACACGGGCTGGACGAGAGCAAATCGGAATTAAAGAAATGTCCAGTTGTTGTAGAATAGGATACTGTAAGAATAGTGATAGTCTTAAAGCTATGAAATCACCTTTATATGTATAATCTTTGTTACACAGTCACAACTAAAAAAAGTACAAAATGTGTACCGGTAAGACGGGATATACTCAATGTTGTTGGATTAGCCGTGCAAAATGGTACAAAATGGTTTGCAAACTGACAACATTTATCAGTATAATTAGTGAATTATAGACAAACTGAAATAGAAAAACTGTCAAATGTCAAAAAACTTCAGATCAAGTCAGGGATTATCATCAGACACTACCATACATTTTATTACATCTGTCACAATATATTTACACACCCCTGATATTCAAAATAGCAACATTTTTTGTGTGGCAATGATACATAAATTAATCTACAGTGACTGAAAATAGTGACTAAATTTTGTCCAGAGCGTTGGTGTTTCAATGTCGAAAGTCAAAACAACGTTTACAAATAATATTGCAAGAGAAACTGTAGATATACAAAACATTTACAGATGTTCTACCACAAATGAGAAGATTATTTATCTAAAATTTTTGCATTCGTTGCCTACAAAATGTCAGACTACCAGACGTTCGACAGTTGCGTAGTCAGGCTCCCATGAAGAAAATTTTTATTTCGAGCCCTGTAATATATATTACAACATCAAATCAATAGTTGTACGAGAAATACCAACAGACAATGCCTGGATGAAAGGGGTGAAGGTGTTTGGGAGGGAAATAAGATGTGCATTGCAAGGCAAGAGCCATGTGCTCAGATGTGCTCAGATGGTAACGAACAAAGGCATGATGAATAGAACGCATGAATAAGATTGAAAGCCCTCAAATACTCTCAGATGTTTATAGCTTAACCTCCTTTACTTTGTACTTTTTTTTATGATCACTACTTATAGTGAAGATTTAGAATGCGAAACGAGATTGTATGCAGGTAGGGCGAGCAATTAAAATAACGGTAAAGGACGGCAACGTAACGATCCCTATCATAGCAGCATTTACTGAGTAGACACCATGTTAAATATCAACATCATTCAACAAACATACAGTTCTAGACATTCTTAGACACAGTCTATAATGAAACCATGGCAACATAGTGTTCAGTGTTACACAATGTGACACATTTTTTCACCCACACATATCCATTCATTTCAAAAAGGTAAACAGATAATGAAGACGAACTTTCAAACCTTGTACACACAATTTACTTGAGTGTAAAAGTCATTTAACGATGAAATGTTAGATTATAATTAATTAACATAAATTATTTGATACTTGATATTTGAATTTTTCATGTTCAGACAGGTTTATAGTTGGTAATAGCATTGTTCATGAACTGAACTTTATTCAATCCACACTTGTATGTGATTGTTACATCCTAGCTTTTACAGTAATCTACTGTACTAGAAAGAACACTGGGGTGAGTAGAGCAGCAGAAAAAGAGGTTGAAATGTCAGGAGTGGAAGACCAACGTATTTAGGTGACTAGAGTGGAAAACCTAGTGGTGGTGTGGACACAGAGTCAAAGATACGAAGATTAAGGTGACTAGAGGGAGTATCAGACCTGGAGGTTGAGAGGACTAGAGTTTAAGACCTGGAGGTTGAGGGGACTAATTATCTGTATTATACCTTGATATACATCTAGATAACTCACCTGTGCTGGGTACTGATGTAAGACATCATCTTGCACTGGAGGAAATAAACCTTTAGCACCACCAGAAGCAGCATTGGCAAGAATATGAGGTATTGTACTAGGGTTCTGTGATGATAACTGTGTTGGTTTATGAGATGATTGAGAACTAGAAGAACCTGTAAAATATCAAGATAGCATCAAACCCTTGAAGCAAGAAAGGAGGAAAACATTGATAGATAAAATGTCACAGAATGCTATCAACTTGTATTTTTGATCTGGGAAATATAATAAGCTTAACATGACAAAAGTTGCTATATAACATTGGGAATAATTGCAGAAAGTGACAAAATGAGTGTACAAAGCATTTTTCTTACCTCCCCATTGTATCTGTCGTTGTAATGCTATCATACTTTTTACTCTCTCTTGTTCATTTTTAAATTGCTCTAGCTGATCTTTTTGTTGCCGTAGTAATTTGTCCTGTTGTTCTTGTTGCCACTGTTTCAGCTGCTTAAATCTCTGTAATAATTTAGCTTGCTCTTTGGAAGCCTGGTGTTCTAGAACATCTATACTTGTATCTGTAGTCAGAAGAAATTAGATCACTATATATAATCCCACAATATTTTTTCCTAGGTTGATGTCAGCAGAAACAAGTGATTGCCAGAGTTTTGATTCAATCTGAGCCACAGATGAGAATTGATGCTACCGGCTACTAACGGTAATCAAGAGTTCCATGTTCCGAAAAATGTGACTGCGAAGTGCTGAAAGTGGAACTATCATTGCATGTGCACCATATGCTAATTTTATCAACACCTATGTTCTTTTTCACATGAACGCTTTACATGCGCTATGTAACGATTCTGTTCATTCATGATATTTGCTCAAATATATATATATATATCTTTTTTTGAAGAATTGAATTACTGAATTATAATTCTGAAAATTTACACACAAGCTTGCTGAAATGAACCAATTTAACCAAAATTTGTAGTTAATACACCGTGCATGCAGGCTGTGCATATGATATGCATTTTTGATCTGTCTTGTATTATGCCACACTGTGGAGATGCACATCATGCATACAATAATGAGAACTCACCAAACTGACAACTGAGTAGACAGAGGAGTTCC